ACGAACCCATTTTACACATAATAGGGGAGAACAATACATAAATTGGGGGAATAACACAAGAAACTTAACAACACACTACCACAGAAAAGTAGATCAGAGTACCATAAAATCTGCAATTTTTACAAATGGTTTGCCCCATTAATGGAAAAAGCACTCCACAGGTGAAGTCCTTTACTTCCCTTTCTTGTCTTTAGCAGTCCTTGCAAAACTATTTCCCAATAGTTTGGGGAAAGGAGGCAGGGGAAACTCAGAAATAGGATGTAAATTAAATAAAAATAACTGGTAAAGTGTAACACACCTGTGAGGATACTTACATTTTGGAGACTGGGATAAATACAGAAGGAACATAACCTTTCCCTCCTCCATCTGAGGGCTTTGAGACTAGAATAAAGAGTAGAGAAATTAAATATTGTCTAGTCATTGTATTATCTATTTGAAATAGATTATTTGCTTGAAGTGCTGCGGGCAACAATAAATTGTAAAGTCCTGCATAAATAAGTAGCCATGAAAGTGAGAGGAATTTCTGAGATTAGTCCTTGAGTTCAGATCTTAGTCACAGAATTGCCTGTGCTCCCCTGATATGAAACACAATATGATAGTGCAACTGATGAAAGAGATTTCCTTAGGCCTTGAAAAAAAATATACAATTCTTTAAGTTTGGTACTCTGAGCCTGCAGATTTCAGTTCTGCAAATGTTTGGAGCTCTGCCTCTACAGATACAGCTTCAGCAATGTGTCGTGAATTCCAATTCTTTTGCACAAAATTAAGCATATATGTAAGATTTCAGATGATTGGAGCATTAGGCAAAGTCCACAGAGTTAAAATGAAGAGGGAGAAAAGTACTGTAGCCTCCAAATATTTTTGAGTTGTGTAGGAATTTGAGTTCAAATGGAATTGTAACCTTTGAAACTGAAAGTCTAGAAGAATGTGTTTTATCTATTAAAAAAATAAGGCTTTGAGGGCTTTCTTTAAGTGAGAATTAATTTTATCTAAAAATGAGCTGACTTGTAACTTGGACATAAAAGAACGTGGGCCTGAACATATTTGGAACCATCCTTGTTTAGCCTTTTTGCATTTTCCAGTGCAGTTGCCAGGGGCTTTTGTCTGCCATAATAACTTGGTAATTGTGCAGTATATTGGGAAAAGGTGGTGCAGATAAGCAGCCTTTGTTTTAGGGTTTCATTGTTCCATGAAATGAAACAAAATCGGGTTTCCAAGTTTTTTGGGAAATAGTGAGTTTTCTTGAAATGCAAGAGCCAGCACGCTACAGTGTAACACAATAAGCAGGATGACTTTTCAGTTTCCTCTCTGTTAAACACCCAAGCACTGAATTTTGTGATTCATCAGTCAGAGAAAAAAATTCCCATTTCTTAGCTTCTTTTAAATATTGTCATCACCTCTACTTTAACCTCTAAGACCAGGGATGTATTTGCAAAACGAAGCTGTCTAAATGACAGACACATGTTTAAACAGTTCTCATGAAGATGACTATTACAGGAGGCATCTTAATCTGTTCTCAGTGCTCAAACTGCCTCTTGACTTTGCAGCTGCTGTGCAGGAAGGGTAAATAGAGAAGTGGAGCCTAACCTTCGTTTGGCTGACAGCTGTAGTGTTTGCCAAAGGCTTTATCTTTGGGGATATCTGGGTACAGGTACTTGAGGGGGTTTTCAGGAACGTTGTCTGCCATGATAACTTTGTAGTCGCGCAGTATATCGGCAAACGGCAGGGCAGATAAGCGACCTTTGTTGTAGGGCTCCACCGAATGAAATGTTACATCTCCTGCAAAAACACAAAGGAAACACAACCTGCAGATGAGCAACTGCAGCTGGAACACGTTTTTGCATTTCTTTTGAGGTTTACACTTGTAGAGGCTTTACCTGTTCTTAGCTACATTAGTATCTTTCAATGTTTAATTTCTGCATGTTTGGAAACAAATCTAAAGCCTGCAGTTAGCAGGTGCACCTCACAGAGAGTTTTGTTAATATAAAGGGCTCAGAGGTCGAATGTCAGAGTTTTGGTTTGTGTTTGAGAAATTATGATACTTGTATCTTGTCCAAAACCATACTATGACATGATACATGTGAATTTTACTTTCAAACCAAACCAAACTCAACTCCTGTATTGCAGGTCTATTGTAGAGTTTGGGTTAGTTTTGATTTTGTTGTTGGCTTGGTTTTTTCTTTAATTTTAATTATACTTACCATTTTCTAGCTGATCCACCCAAGTAAAGGTAATTCCACCCAGATTGCTCTCACTAAACCTTAATAAGAATGTTCCTGGTGTCTTGTCTTTCAGCAGAATTCGTTCCTTTTCTTTGCTTACAAATCCCATTATGTACCTGAGGTATAACAGGAAATCATGGGTTTACTTTTGGAAAAAAAATACAGACTTGGATCTGTGCAATGTGTAGAATCATAGAAGGGCCTGGGTTGGAAGGGACCTTAAAGTTCAGCTTGTTCCAAACCCCCTGCCGTGGACAGGGACATCTTTCACCAGACCAGGTTGCTCAGAACTATCCAGCCTGGCCTTGGGCTGGCCAGACTTTATACAGATGTTCAAAACCTGGTTACAAAGCTTTATAAGGCTTGGGAATTATGACCAAAACTTTGTGTGATTACACATGGAATATGGCATTGAGCTCAAAATACTAATAAGCCTGGTGAAATTTATCCCAGTACTTGATTGCACAGACAGAACTGAAGAATAGATCTAAACCTGCATTTCTAAGAGTTCCCATGTTGCTTCCCTTTGACAGCAATTTCCAAAAGTTATGAATGGGAGAAGGGAGACAGAAGTGTTAAACTCATTGCAAATACTCCTCTGCATGGCTAAAACTGAGATGAGTAAAGGACAGAGAAAATGTGGACAGAGATCAATAGACAGCAGTTCCCTTGTTGCTCACCCATCAATCCAAAGGGGAAGAATGTGTTTTTTAATCAAGTCCAAGATTGCTTCGAGCCAAACCCAAAAGGTAAAAGACTTCCCAGGCAAATGTTCCTAACAGTTAAAAAACAACCACAAAACACAATCAAAACCAACACACCCGAGAGGAGAATCATGAGAGTGATGTTACCCAATGTTCACATGACAGTTTCTTCTCAGTTTCTTAAGAATAAGCTACTTTTCTCAAGTGAGAATCACAATTTGAGCTGTGGTTTTGAGTAACATCTCTCTTTCAACCTGACATAAAACCAACTGATTTTTAAGATATGCATTGGAAGCACCTCATTTTTCAAGGAGAATAAAAATCACATCTGTGGTTTCTTCCTAGTTATAAGTTTATATTTTGAGTGAAAAGAAGATGAGAAAGTTGAAATTCCTTCTCAGGTTCTGCACATGTTTAAATAATGTAGTTAATATGAATTAAAGGAGCTTACCCTTCTTTATCAATACATTCTCTCTTCCTCATCAAAGTTATTGCATATACTGACTGTCTTGGAATAATTTAGCTCAAAACTAAACACATGAAAAATCTTACTTATGTTTTATGAAAGATGTATTGCATGCTTTGGCAAGACTTTCAGTTGATTCTATACAGAAATATATAAGGCACACTCTAATGGCAGTTTCTGATATCTGTAGGAATATAACTAAGTAGATCCCCAATCCCAAGCTTTATGCTTCTGAAAGTGTTTTCTTCCTAGTTAAATTTTTACAAGGGATGTGATTATGCTGAGCTGAAAGTCCCGCATATGGCAAGTGGGAATCTTATCAGCAGCATCAGAGAAACAAAGATAGGCATGGCTGTGGGTGTTATGAGAAATAAGAGTTTAGTGTTATTTTTGGCACAGTACCTTGCAGAACTTTGCCCAGGATAGTTGATAATCATTGTAACTGACTTGCTGTCCTGAAAGAGGAAAAAAACCCAAAAACCCCAAATGGGGCATGTATTATTCTGAAGTTATGAAATAGATATTGCTTGATATCTGTATAGTTGGGCAGGGGGTGAGGGGAGAAGTACAATCCATCCAGACTTGGGGAGGGAGAGAGAGGGGCATGCTAAGGGACTGCAGATCTGTTTTCCTGTGTTCTTTTGAAGCAAGGGATAATAGTTTTGGAAATATTTGCCTAAAGTAGCCTGTGACTCGGTTTTTGCAACACTACGTGCTCAGTTTCAGTTTTTAGCCTAAATGTTACTTCTCAGCTTTCCCCAGGGCCTTTCCCTTCTGGGACACCCTTGGGTCTCAGAGTACTCAGTAGTTCATCTTGCTGAGGTTGCAGGGCCTCTTTGCTGTGCTGACACCAGTGAAGCATCTCTGGTGAGGCCCCAGAAATGAACAGACCCACAAGGATAGGTACTTAAAATGAAAAAACCCCAAACCAAATCTCATAAGCAAGCAAAAATACTTCCTTTTCATTTCAGATGTATGAGATAATTGTTAAGGAGGCAAAATAACATCACAGTTCAGTGTGACTTTGATGCCCTCTTCCTTCAGTTGAGCAGCCTGGAAGTTCGAAAGTTGAATTACTTTGTGATAAGAATAAGCTGATGCCTGCTTTCTTCAAAGAAAAAAATGTCATTGTGACATTTTTGACATCAGCTCTGGAAATGGAGGTCATGCCTTGCTGGTTTTGGCTGGGGTGGAGTTCATTTTCTTCACAGCAGCCAGTGTGTTTTGGATTTGTGCTGGAAACAGTGTTGGTAATACAGGGATGGTTTAGCTCTTTCTGAGCAGGGCTTACACACAGTGAAAGTCTTTTCTGCCTCTCAACCCTCCCATGAGCAAAGGGGCTGGGAGTGCTGGAAGCTGGGAGAGGACACAGCTAGGACAGCTGATCCTAACTGGCCAAAAGGACATTTTGCACCATATGGTGACATGCTCAGCATGTAAACTTAGGGGTAAGGAGGAGGAAGGAGGGGATGTTTGGGGTGATGGCATCTCTCTTCCCAAGTAACTCCTTTGTGTGATGAATCCAGCCCGGATTTCCAGGCTGAACACTTGCCTGCAGATGGGAGGTAGTGAATGAATTCCTTGTTTGCCTTGTGTGCACGTGTGGCTTTTGCTTTATGTGCTAAACTGTCTTTAGCTTGACCCATGAGCTTTCTCACTTTGCCCTTTTCTCGCTAACCCTTCCAATTCTCTCCCCATCTCACTCTGGGGGAGTGTAGGGCTGTGTGGGGCTTAGTTGCCAGCTGGTGCTAAACCACAAGGTGTACTTAAAGCCCCTACCTGTAACTACCAAATGTAAGAACCCCAAAGCAAATAAAATTTCTACACACTTACCTGTAAGTTTCTCTGCCAGCATGTTGAGCTGTTCAGAATTGAGTCCACGACCAACATATGATGAGAATTGCCAGCTCAGGACTTCTAAGAGCTGGCTCAAAGTGGCAGCAGGGGGGTTGTTGAAGAAAGACAAATTCTGCAAAAGAATGAATGCTTTGTTTACATAGCAACCATGAAATACCTATCAGGCTGTAAGAGAGGCTGCAAGTGCTTGAGCAGCATCTGGAAGTGTTGAAAGTGAGCTCTGTGTGTGGGGAAGCACTGGGGCAAATGTGTGGGCCCTCCCACCTGCAGGCACCCAGCAAGGTCCAGTGGGGTGCCTGAGCAGGGTTGTAGGGTGAGACTCCTAGAGAGAACTCAAGTCCCTGTGTGCATCTTGGATGTTAAAATGCCTTGCTATGCCTCTGGTAGTGTCCTGTGTAAAGGCAGTGACAATATGCTTCCATCCTGTCCAAAAAAAAATCTAGATATTACCATTGTATTTTAATGTTTAGTGCGTGGAAACTTTAAACCATTACATACTGATATGGTGACGTGCTGTTGAATCATTTGCCTTATCTTAGTTTTTTCAGTTGTGGGTTTTTTTTTTTATTCTACACACAATGGACATACTGAGGACTGTGCAAAAACTCTTTGGAGTATCACAGAGTGATAATGCAGTCCAGCCTGTGGGTCAGCTGGCCTGCCACCATGGCAGACTGTCTGCCCCTTTCCCTGCTCTGAGCATCTGTGTGCCTGCACTAATCCCCAGCTGAAAGCCTGAGAGCCACTGACAGCCCTGTTCCACAGCCTGCAAATACAGTAACAGCGGCTGAATCTAAAATATGTGCTGAGACAGCTGGAGCCTTAGAAAGAATGATTCTGCCTCTGCTCAGGGTTAGAGCCACTAGAAGTTGCTCTTAACATTTATAATCTTCTCCACAGAAAGCACAAGTTGCCATAAAATCCATGGGGGAAAGCAGAATTTAAGTACATTACAGATTCACCTATGTGCCTGCTTTCCTGGTCTGGAGTTGTACTGATAGAATTATTTTCTAACAGGTCTAGTTTTAGTCAGCTACATCCAAGAAAGATAAACTAAATCTAGTGAAGTCATAGAAGTTGTGGAGAAGGCCTGTCACCTTTCCTTAGTTTAAGAACTACTACTTTAGGCTGCAAAAAGAAAAGCTAAGAGTACATGTGGTTTTTATAGCTGGGCAGGGAAAGAAAGATAAAGAGAACAACAATAAAGTGTGATGTTGATAACTGTGTACGTGACAAAAATGAGGTCAGTTCAAAAGGGAAATACATTTTTTTTTACACTTAATGTAAATAATACAAATGTGAAATTGCACTAATAATAACACAAATGTGAAAATGCAGAAAGCCAGTATTTGCATACTGAGGACCTACCTGAGGGTCATTGGTTGACAGGTTGTACCAAATAATGGAGGCCCATGCGTTGGGCAGTTGGCTGACGTTGGAAATCATCACCACAGGCAAAGAGCTGGTCTGGTGGAGAGAATGAATGCCCTGTGTAAATGCTACTGAGGAAAGTATTAGTGCTGTGCTTTGGGTTTTTAGCCTCTCATTCTTCCCAAAGCACAGGCTTCTTTTCCAGAAGCTCTGGAAATCTTGTGTCAGCTTGTGGTTACTGCTGGGGGCCTCACTGAGGGCAGGCAGACCTGTGGGGTGGCCCAGCACAGTTGTACTTCTATAAACTGCTGGAAAATGCCTTTTTCTCCTGCCCCAGGTAATCTGTCCCAAATACTCACTTCCAAATTTATGGTCAATCCATACAGGCAGACCTGTGTCTCAAAGCTGATGGAGTGCAGTTCCTCTGTCACCATGTGAGGCCCCTGAGGGAATAACCAGGTTATAAAGTTGGGAGTGCACAGCTGGCATTTAACACTGATCCAGCTGCTGAGGTTACACTTGGAAAAAAAACCTCATATCAAATATATAAGCAGAACAGGAAACGAAGTGAAGGAAACAATTTGTTCAACTCTGGCATTAAATTAGTCCAGAAGTCTGGTAATTTTTCTGATGAATCTAAAAGAACCCCTTAATATTGTTCTAGACTTTTATCTTTTTCTGAAATGGTACTTTTAAACACAATTTGCACACAAGAAGTTAACAGATAATTTTGTGTGTCCAATAAAGGTTGTCTCCAACTTTCCTTTTCCTAAAGTTTCCTGACTGATTGACAATTGGACTTCAAACAGAGATGTTCAACTTCAAGGAGAAACAAACCAGAAACAAAGCAAATAGGCACAGCTTTAATGACAAATGGGCCTTCATCCAGGTTTGCTGTGGGTTCTAGTTGAAGGACTAGAAGCCTAAATCATTAATCCGAAGTAAATCTGGTATTAAAACCCCGTGCTTTTCTTGGATGAAAACCACTAAAATCTGTTTGTCATTGTTGATTAAAGTTTGTAGTATTAGCGTTTGTTTTGATTACAAAGCAGCATAGCTCTGCAAAGATCCAAATCTCTGCCCCTTAGGAAACAGATTTCTTGAAATACATTTCCATCCCTGGAACTCAAAGTATAAAAATATATTTGTTCTTTTCCAGTTTTCTTTGTTGTTGGTCTTTTCCCTCCCCATCATGCATTTGTTTTGTCAGACTTTTCTTTTAAAAAAGAAATAAAAAATTGCAAATCAAAATGCTTTCCCATGATGAAATATCCACCTGTACTTCTGACACAAAGTTGATAAGGATTGGTGAAACAACCCTTCTTCCCCCATTATGATTTTGCAGAAGCAGATTTTTCTCATGGAAAAATCATCTAGGCAAAAAGATACATCTGCATGAAAGAACAAATCTAAAATAGAAAACTTCCACTTTTTTCTTAATGAGGCCAGTTATATTTAACTACACTTTTAGCATACTGAACGTCCTATAACAAACCAAGTTTTGAAAGCATTATAGTTGCTGTTAACAAAGAAAATCCCAACTCTTGTTCTGCTAATAACCACTTTCACAGACTGACTTGGCCAAGGAGAGGCTCTGGTTGAGGAAATCAGCAGTGAACCAGGTCACAGCTCAGATGTCCTAATTCTCCACAGCCCTATGATAGCTTTATATAGTTTTAAAGGCACAATGTGTAGAAATGGGAAGAAAATGCTGCTAAAACTTGCCAACATTTCTTAACCTACATTTTTGCATTTGCTTGTTGTGGTGTCAGTGATTTTGTAAGCAGCCAAGTAACTGGGAGGTGAGCCTTGAGTTTCAGTCTTGCTAATTGGGTGCTGAGTTGTTCTGTTCAGAAATGTGTGTGAAAGGGGCACACGAATCTTCTGCTTTAGGCTTTGCTCAAATTCCTCATGCTCATCACACCTTCTGCTTTGTACTTAAAGAATACGGCAAATAACTCTTGTGCTTGTATAAATACAGCTATTTGGGCTGTAATGTGAATGATTTTATTTTTATATATATTTTTAAAATATGTTTTTTAACAAGCTTACTCAGCTATGCTGGATTTAGTGCTGTCATGCCATACACAAAATCACCACGAGAGGGGAACCTACGACCAGGCTGGGACAAGTGCAAGCAAATTAAGCACATTTTTGATCCTGGCTGAGGCAGCAAACCCCTTTGATACAAAGATGATGACACCCTGACTTTAGCTCTGAACCTGACCAGCAGAACATATATTTAAAGAACCTTTCCTGTAGGAAACAATTATTTCAACAACAGAAAAAAAAACTTTAAAAGCTTATTTGGTTTTGCTTTTTTTCCTTTTTTTCAAAGTCCAAATGACCAGAAAGGTAACCTTTGAGTGGAATGCACTCATTTGAATTATTAATCTCTACCTTCTATTGTAACTTCTTCAATATACAGACTTCAGGCACGCAATTACAATTTGAGTAATTCCAAAGAGTTCTCATCATACTTATACTTACATAATTATTGGATCCTGTACTTAGTATATATTTCAAAATATAACAACTCTTTGACTTGAATAAAATCAAATCTGAAATACTTGTGAGAGAATGCAAAAACAACATGCAAAATAAATGCACAAACCTCATTTCCTTTGCTTCCAGCACTTGTTTTCATTTCTTTGGGTTGCTGTATAAAGCAAAGCAATATTTGTGTCAGAGATACTATACACAGAAGTACATATAAAGAACATAATTTATAACCAGGATGTTCTTAGTTATAATAAGATTTTATTTGCAATATGCAAATGAAGTGTAATGAAGACTCTGACACTGCACATTGAAAATTCTATTCAGTGAGGGGTCTTTTGATGTTTTTAAAGAATTTTTAGGAAACTAAGTTAATGCAACAAAGCATTAATTAGGGTGCTTGCCAAGTGTATCCCACAAAACCAAAAAAAAAGCTAAAACCATCGATCTCAATCTCCTTTTGCAAAACTACACTGATGCACTGCATCTGTGGTTAAGCCCCAAAATTACCACAGGCAAGAGTTAGTCAGAGAGCAGGACTCACTGGGCTCTCAGAGAAGTTACACAAGCACTGCTCTAGTCTCTCACGAGGCTTTATCACAGGCATTAATTTCCGATAGATTTCAAGCATTCAATTCTATCTCCCCTAGAAAACTGTGGTGTGGTTTAAGGTTTTTTGTTTGTTTGTTCTGTGTGCTGGGTTTTTCTGCTTGGTTTGTTTTTTTATTTTTTTGCTGTTGTTGGTTTGGTGTTTGAGGTTTTTTTTAACCAAACTCAGTTTCTGTGAAGCTTTTTAATTCAGCAGGATTACTCTTTCCTTTTCTGGTGGTAATTAGGATTTGCTTTCTCATTTCTGTGAAATTCTTATTTTAGAGAATGGATGAGGTATAGAATGGCACAAAGAGATTCTAGGAGTAATCTTCTTGTACAAAGAGAAAGAAAATGAGTGTGGCCTTGACAGTAATACAGTTCTCCCTCCAGAGTTTCTAAAGAATCTTTTATTTCTCTACTCACAACAGTACACAAAAAAAGTACTGTTTTTTACAATAGTAAAAAAGTGTCAAACCTACCAAATGTCGAAATTCTACTGACAAGCTCCCATTTGCAGACTCATCCATGTTCATGGCTTTCACATGTGTTCCACACAGAACAAATCTACGGTTACTGCACAGAACATGACAGTTATGGACTCAAATACCAGTGTATTGGAAAAAATTAATAAATATGGTATTTTATTGTCTTACCTTACAGTTGAAACATTCCTGAAAGAGAAGAGGGGTGGGGAAGAGGAAAGGGGTTGTGAATCAGTAAATGTGTAAAATGGAACTTTTACTGAGAAGCATATCTGAGATGGTAGATTTTGCCTGCTCAAAGTTGGTTTGTATTGACCCTACAGCTACAGTTTTTAAACTGAAGAATTGAAATTCATACTGTCCACTTGGACTTTTGCATCTGGCCATATGTAGGTAGTGTATTTTATTTTGCTATTTATTAAAGTATATGGCTTCTGAGAAAAACAGCCCTGGCTTCTCTCTTGCTCCCTCCTCACCGGGTGTATTTCCCTCCTCTTGTGGGCCCACATCTATGTCCATGCAGCCAAGGTGGTTTTTAGGGGCTTGCAGAAGCACAGCAAGCAGAAGGAGGGAGGTAGCTGGTACCTAGGGCTGGGGATGTTGCATCGTGAGAGCTCAGAGCTATTTCAAAACTAACTATTCCATAAATGCAATATAGTTTGATTTCAGACTTTTGTGTAATGCTGCTGTATCAGTCTGCTGAATTTTTTTCTGTCTTGAGACAAATCTTAAATGGACTTCTTGCCTCTAATTTGAAACCATCAATTAGACTTAGCAGCTTTGTTTTTAAAAAAGAAGTCTTCCACATAAAAAGAATTGTTACTATGATCTTTTCACTGGTGGTTTTCAAAATTTTCTTTTCCTTTTCCTTTTAAAAGCAGTTTAAAAATCAGATAGGGTAGCCACTGAAAAAAAACTGTGCTGTCTCTGTAGGGAGTAAGAGAATAGCTTCACTTTTAAGTTTCTTACTTGTCAATAGTTGCTTTCACTCTGATCTGGTAGTTCAGCTCTGGCAATTTAATTAGCAACCTTCAAAACAGAAAATGAGAGAGTGGATATTAATAAATGTCTCCCCAGAAAACACTAGACTGGTTGCTCCGGAATGAAGTATCAGAAATTATTGTCATCTGAAAACAGATTAGGCATCTAGGATTACAATACAATTTACAGGGTTGAATTCTCAGAAAGAAGAGCTGGGCTGTTCCAGTGCAGAGGGTGCCCTACCCTCCCTCTATGTGTGTGGAAAAGTTAGCATGTGTTTGAGGGAGTGGCTGGAGTGACACCAAATAATTAGGAAATGGATTTGTATCATCTCTGACTGCATCACAGGTGTGTGTGTGTTTTCCTTCATGTACCTCTTCTCACCACCAGCCTTCCATGAACTTTGTGCTGCAAGGTAGAAATGAAATGAGAGTTCCTCTCCAACCTTTGCTCTTTCACAAACTCAGGAAAGGAGCTTCTGGGAGAGAAAGAACTTGTCTGTGATTCACCCAAGACGCCCAGAATGCAGCTGTTTCTCTGTCCTCTGTGCAGAAGTGGCTCTGAGTATTCTGATTTTTGGCTTGTATGATAAGGATCATTATTTACTCAGTTTGTAAAGTCATTACAACAAGAATTCGATGCATACAGAACCCTGAAGGTGTTGCTTTTAGCCACAATGTGCCTTTCTTCCTTGTGTTTTACTCTTCACTGCCACTTGTTCTGCGTGACAGATTCTGTGGACTTTATATCCCCATTCCAGAAAATTTCCCTGCAGTTGAATGGATCCCTAATGCAGGTTGGCCTGCTTTGCTTTCTAGATTCTCCTAGGATAAAATACTGTACACAAATGAAGGAGTTTATATTAGATTTTTTTCCCTTACCTTAACTTAACAGTGAACTGTATTAAAGTTTTGAGAACCATTGGCCTCTGGGGGTGTGTTGGCATGCAGGGCTGCCTTTCAACCACAAAGGAGCTGTGTGAGAAGAAGTGAAACAAATAGATTTTTAGGAATAGGTATGAACAAACAGATGGGGTTTTTTGTGGGGAGGGAGGAAGGGAAAAGGGCTGCTATCTCTTAAAGACTTATTCTCTGCAGATGCTGAAGTAGGAGCTATGTATTCCAACTCCCAGTTCTCAAACTGATTCAGTGGTCTAACTGTCCCTGAAATTGTTCCCATAAGAAACAGATATCTGAAAGACATTGACAATTATACCAAATTCTATAGTTCTAAAATACAATGATGATAAAAGTCTTGGTCTTCCAAAATTTCATCAGAGCCACAAAACAGAGTATGAAAATACACTGAGCATGGCTTCAATGAAATTAAATTATAATAATTAAACAATCATTTTAATTTTTATATATAGAGAGAGCAAACAATTGAGCAAACTTCAGAGACTCACTTGTGGTATATCTCTAGTATAGCCTGTACAAAAGGCAAGAGAAATGATGCTAATATTTTATCTACTAATAGAAGTGTGAGTTGAGAGGGCAGCAGGAAGCATAGCTTGGGGAGACAGAGGAAATAAAAGGAACATTAACTTAAAAAAGGTAAATGTTTCTCAGCATTCTTTCTCAGCAGAATGTACATAACTCCTCCTAGAATAAGGGGATTTCTGGCATTTAGTTAAGAGTCAGAATTTGATGACAAACCCTTAAATGCTACCCATGAGAAGCTGCCTGGAAACTTCCGTTTCTATGAATTCTGATGACAGCTGTACATACATCTTGTGTTAGGAACCTGGTGCTTAGAATCCTCAGACATTCAAACTTTTTTTCCCCTTTTTCTTAACAGTGTGTTCTCATTGTTGTACCGGTTGAGGTAAAGTTCTGCACTTTGGCCGTGGCTTACGCACTTGCGGAAAAGGTTGTAGAGCAGAAAGTTGACTTTTTCCAGCAGCTGAGGTCTTTGCACAGGAATAGGGTCCCCATCATAAGTCAGCCTGGTCAGGAGTTCATCCAGCTTTTCTAGTTGCCTTCTGACTTGAAAGAGACTCTCTGCCAACAGTGTAAAGCTACAGCAAGACAAAGAATTGCTTTGCAATCTTTCTTGTAAACAGTTTCTTGGAACACAAGAACTACTGAAGTTCTTGCTTGGGGAAAATCAGAATCTGTATTGAATGGTGCTTTCCAGCTTTGCCCAAACTCCCATCCATCCATCTTTTGTTTACAGGACTATAAAAATACATTGGGCAAATCACCGGCTCTATCTTCAAAGATAAGTGTTTTCACAACAATGCAACACTGTCTGTGATAATTTGGAAGAAATATATACATGGCCTAGTGTTGTACATGCAGGGCACTTGTGCCAACATTAATTATTTCCTACAGCTCAGGAGTTTTGCAAAATGTATTCTTTAAAAGGACAATATTTATATAGAATGAGCAAGTTAACAAGACTAAAGAAGTGTAAAAGCAGTTAGGAAAAAGAAATCCAAACACACTTGATAACAGTCCAGTAGGATATGTGCGTATAAAATTACAATTTAAAGCTATTTTTAGAATGTTCGTTGTGGGAAAAAAAAAGTACTTCAGTGAAAAAAAGAAAAAGCCTACACAGAAAAAAAAAGCAAATGACCACTTTTTTTTTTTCACTTTTAAAATTTTCTTGATAATTTTCCTTCCTTTTTAACTATTACATTTTACTTCACCTTTTCCATATGAGAGTTTTGATGGGAGAGTAGTGACCATGATGTTGTGGTGACATTTTGTGAGTACACTATATTTTGAATATAATGCTATTTTCTTTTTATTTGCAATCACTTCAGAGTTGCCATCACAGAGACTACTGCCATTCAATCCCTACACAGTGTAAAGTCTGGAGGAGTGAGTCAAAGCATAAAGCCTCTACCCAGCTCCTGCCTAGACACAACTCCCACTGCCTACAATGACAAACTCAGTCAGCACCATTCTTACTCAAGCAAAACTCCCAAGTGGGTATGTCTCATGTATCTGGAGGACACAAACCCAAAAATTAGTGACTACCACAAGCCAGGCTAGTGTTCATTCAGAATGGCGAATGTTGCTTTTAGTGAGCACCTTTTAGTTATTTACTCTCTTAGCTGCTGGTGAATTTGCTGCTGTTGCAGCTGATCTAAAGGAATGATCATTTCAAGTGCAGCAGACTTCCTGTGGTTTTCGGTGGAAGCACGAGGTCAGGGCAGGTTTACCAGTTCTGGAGCTGGTCGAGCCCCCCGTGGAGGGGCCCCCCGATGCAGGCGATCTGCTGCCGCCTCTTCCAGTCCAGCAGCTCCTCGGTCAGCATGTTGCTCATCAGCACATCGATCTCATGGATCACACGCCCGATCTTACTGAGCACCTCCTGGAAAAGAGCAAAGGTGCCACTAACTGACCACAGGCAACAGCTGCAGAATTCAACAACTAGCATGAAGCACTTACCATGTTTTTTTCAATTATTCTGAAAGTAACCGTGTTTAGTTCCTATTGCTTCAGTGACAGGATTCATCACCCATTGTATATTAATCCTGAATCCCTATGAATTCTTCTTCAGTAATTTTTTTTTTGGGAGGGTAGGAGAGAAGAGTGTTGCATTATCTGTGGGCAAAATATCTCCAAGATATTGGAGATTTTGACACTTGCAAGCTCTGTCAAGTTCAGAAAGTTCTGCTGTTGTTTTGCATCATATAAAATGCATTGTGTTTTTGTTTGCTTGATTTACTCATAACCCTCATGGACTCAAATTGCTTCACTCTTAAAGTGTGCAGAACCAGATCCTTGACTGAGCTGTTACTTAATTGCCAATTTCTTAACTTCTAGTTCAAATCACCCAGACCTGCCCAAACATTTTGCAAATTTTTAACTCCAGTGAAATGAGTCTGCTCTTCTGAGATGAAAATTTAGAAAGGCACACATACACATTTGAGTATTTGGTGTGAGAATTAGGGGAGAAAGCAGATAAACCACAAATGACAAAACATTGTCACTAACCTTTCTCTTGTAGTCTAAAGTATTGAGCATTGCCTGCAACGCCAACATTTCCTGTTTAATGAGGGCGCTGTTTTTGTCATTCTGCTCTGCAGGGGACGAAAAAAAATCAGTATAAATACGTGTGGGTGTGTGTGCCTGTTTATAAGGGGAGATGAGGAAAACAAACCACAACCAGGCTGCAGCAAGAACTAGTGAAAAAATAAACTGTGAACATCAGTAGATTATGCAACAGCCTATTTCATTTGAAAGGACTAGCTTTAGTAAAAGTTTAACATAAGGTTTTATGGATCCTGTCTGTAGATGTGTTTGTGGGGCAGGAAAAGGCAGAAAACATACAAGTGATACCCAGAGTTCTCTAAATTTCTCATCCCTGTGCATACTCCTGTGTATTATGTACATCTGGCTTGGATCAATGATTGATCTGTAAACACAAACAGCTCGTGGTGTCAGCAGTTAGGCTAAAGCTCTTTGGACTTGATGTGAATTGCAATGTCTGGCTGGGAGGCATTTGCAACAGAGATGAAGTGCTCATCACCAGGGGAATTTCAGCAGCCAGGAGCACTGGTCACTGGGCATTTCCCTCTCTGTCTAGTGTTTGTCCTTCTCTGGGTCAGGCAGTAGTTCCAAGAGCCCCCAAGCTCACCCATGCTCTTTCACATGCAGCTCTTTCCCACCCTCACTTTCACCAACCTTTTGCATCTTTCATGCTACATTCAAAAAAGAAATTGGTGCCAACTGTGTGCCTGCTAAGCTCTGGATGGATGCCTTCCTATTGAGTCAGGGTAGATGTTTCAGTAGAGGCAGACAAGTAACCAGCACCACCTCAGCCACAGCAATTGCTCCCACACACTCTAAGCTGGCTGTGCTGGAGCAGAGCAGTGAAATTTAAGCCCTGAAAGTCATTTATTGTCAGCATGTCTTATGTCAGTCCAGCTTTCAGGTATCTGTGTGGTCAGTAATTATGACTGACCTGATGACTAGAAACTCATTAAACCATGGCAAGTCTTCTGATTGCTGGGTCATATCCAGCCTTCAACATTTAGGATTGATGTGCTTAAGGACTTGGATGTTTTAAGCCTAGCATCTTTGCAGGTTCAAAGGAAGGCAATATAAAGATATCTGAGCAGACACAAGCAGACCCCAGTTTCTTTTCTGAAAGAGATCATGCAAGGACTGTTCCACATGCAGATCTCAGCCATCACAGGCTGGTCAAACATGCATTCAGAGTGCTTACCAGCTGGTTATCACCACTGTGGTCAAAAAAGAACAGAAAGCCAAGTTAGAGGCAAGAAAAATCAGTTCTGCATGACTCTGGGAAAAAGGAGTCCCTTCCACATTCTCCCAATGAAAGGGCCATGTAAAAGGTGAGGATATTGAGAAATAGGTTCTTTAAATTAAGAAATATACTACTTTATATGCCATTAGGTAGCTTATCCATAGGAAATAACTATACTTTCTTTACCCTCTTAACGCCAAAAGAGTAATTTTGTTCCAGGACTAAAACTTTATATAAACCAAAGATCCATTTTTATGTTTACATATATTAATCAAGTAATGCACACAACCCCCTGATGCTGTAGTCTAGCTGCAGAACCAGCCATTTCCTAGGGAATCCAAAAATGAGTATAAAAACTCTTACCTAAGCTCTGTATTGTTTTGTACCTGAAGTCAAATTCCTCTTGCAAGTCTTCCAAGTATTTCACATCTTGGTCAGTCATCTTTCACAGGAGAGAAATGAACAAATGCATGATGTAGTATTTTCCTTTCTTACCATTTGAAAACCCCTGAATAGTTCTGGGAACTCTTGTTTACTGTCTTGTAAACTTTATAAAGAATGATTGAATAATAAATTTATAGCTACAGATTTATTTTACTTGTTTAGAATGTCAAATATCATCCTCTATCCTGTGTTTGACAGTGGTTGATTCAGCTTTATCCCTTCTTGTTTACTAGTGCAATGACATAAAAGCAAGTAGGAACAATTGTGTTAGCCTGAGCTAAACTGAAATTGTTATGCCCATAATGCATAACATTGAAACTTTAAAGCAGGGCAAAGGGATAATTTTACATTTACTTAAATGGAAATTTAATTGGGGTGTGCAAAGCCAAAAAAGGTGGAGTCACACAGGAGTAGAACTCACAGAATTTATTTACAGAATGTTTTAAGAATTTGGATAAAGAAATGAAACATTTTTGCTCCTTTGGCATTTTGCAGCTTTCTTTTCATATGTGCTATTAAAAAATATTAAAGACATTTTCTAGTAACCAATCAATAATAATTCAAAACACCCCATCAAAAGAAGGAAAATGAAACTGTAGGAAATTATCTGCTGTACTTTGAAGGTCTATTTCTGTGCTGTTTATAGGAAGCCTTGATTTTGCCAACAACTCATAAACAATCCTTTTTGCTTTCCTAAGATGTGCACATTAAGAGTCTGAAAGTACATAAACTTGTTTGCTAAATGAGCCCACACACAATTAGCCATTTTGGCTTACTCTTTATTTTTGGAGACGAAAGTTTTAAATTATATGCGTAAAGTATGAAATTACATGCACGAGGAGCTGGCTAATTTCTGCGTTCAACTTAATTACCTACTAAAAAACTCCAACCCTGCTATCTAGAAAATGTTCTCATTTTCACTGGTCCTTTGGGGTGGCTGTGCTTCCCCACACAGGCAGGAGGAGCAGCTTGATAGGCTGCTGTTTTGTCTGCTCTGCAACTCTTTATCTACACATAAAGTTGTAAGATGAGACCTAGTATTACATTCTTCTGAATCTACTTTATCCTTCTAAGGGTTTGATCTCTCTAACCCTTCTTCTCTGTGAAAGAATGATGAGAGAATGCCACTAGAATCTCTTTCCAGTATACCAGAAGTGTTGCTCTTGAACAACATATGGACAGGTATTTCAAATATAGTTTCTACCCTGAGACTGCTGCAAAGCTGAAAGTGGGATAGCAAAAAAGCCATGGGTACTTTGAATCCTTATCCTGCCTTGAACTGAATGGGCATTCTCTGAGCTTTCAGGGTCTCTGGGACATAGCTACAGGTTTGGCTCAGCCCAGCTGTGGCCTGCAATGGCATGAGAAACTCCTGGAGAGTGGTTACCACCAGCTGCCAGTGTTCTTGTCCCCTCATGACTCCAAACCACGCAATTGTGTCACGTAGCCTTCACCTCGACAAAGGTCTCGGTGCATGACTCAGAGCTTGGGAAGGTTAAGCTACTGCTGACCCAGCTAAAGGAGGTGAAATTGCAAAAATACATTTTCTGAACTTCTTATCTTTTTAGAGACTGTAGCTATGCTCTTACTGCACTCAGTGGTCTGCCTGCAACTTCCCTAGGGATGAGTGTGACAGCTTTAAAATAGGGAGCTCTCACACTGAACCCAGACAGCTGCTAACATCTGAGGATCCAGGTGTGTCCTGAGCTGTCAGTGTGGGCAGATGTCCTTGGAATAATGGAAAATGGATGGTGTATCTGTTGGCAGAAGTTGTTGTGCTACCCAGCCTAAAGACAGCTCAGGTGTGTCTGTATGAAAATCAGGTGGGCAGAGACAGCACACAGGACAAAAAAGGTACCTGAGCGCTGTTCTTGATCGCTGACACTTTGTGTTCTACATTTCTCTGACGTTCTGAAACCACAGAGCTCTGTAGAGACTTTTCCAGTGGCCCCTGGAACACATTGAACAGATAATTGGTGGGTGAGTAATATTTATAGTAATAATAGGTGATAGAAACTGAACTGCAAGTTCCAGCACAGTGAGGGAATTCCAAAGCCAGAGTTCAACCATCTGCAGACTGCTGTAAACACACAGACAAGTTTAGTTCTACACATTTGAAAAACATGCAGCTTTAACTTTGAAATCCAAGAGATTAAAAGGTGTGGGTATACTGCAGGTATTAAATATCAGGTAAATGAAATATAGATTATTAGATTTTTAAAAAAATATCCATGGCACAAGACTCATGTAGGAATGCGGATTACATCCACAAGTGATTAACAAGAACATGTTTGTCTTAAAAATTCTCTCTGGGTTTTCATCATGTAACAATTTCCCCAAAATAAGTTTCATATGTAATTTGACTTTTTTTTCTCCAAACAACATAAAAATCATCAATAACTCTATAAATCATCCAACTGTATTGGATAGAATGTCTTTTGCATTTCATAGTTAATATGAATTAATGCATTGCATAATTTAAAATACACACATCTGTTTCGCAAAGAATAATCTCTTTAAAACCTTTCCTACAGATTAAAGTCTTTGAAGATTAGCTGTGACATGGAAGTCCCTCATAGCAATGTTTCCAGCAGAAGAGTCACTAATGAAGTTCAAATGTGAGTTTAAAGGGCAACATTTGGCAACCCTGAGTGCACACAAATCACTTCAGTGGAATGAGGGGACAGGATTTGGTTTGAAAAGCATGTGAGCAGATTAACATGGAGCAGATTAGTGAAATGTAATTCATTACCTGTACAGGCATGCTGGCTGCAGCCAATATTCTTCTTTCTTCTCTTAAGCAGTTTGAGATGATCACTGCTATATGCATGGGATTACCATGATATTTGCCCTGCAAGCACAAGTAAATACAACTCAAAAAAATTCCACAATTCAGGATGTCCCTCTGGAAATCACAAGCAACATGATCTATGAGTGTCTATGAGTGTCTATGAGGTGCAGATTGGTGTGGGTGGAAAGGAGTCCCCTTTCCATGTGCTGGTTCAGCCTTTCAGGGCAGCATCAGTTAGTGCCACCGTCATAAAATATTCTGAACAATGTTCCACAGAGATTATAAAGATACAATTCCGAGATGTATATAATTTTGAGATCAAATTAGCTCCCCTGCTAACACAGCTGTTTTGAAAGGGCTTTCCTGTCAGCCTATTCTGGGCACGATTTTATCACACCTTCGATTTTCAATAGGATGTTGCTGCTTAGCATGTAGCATTTCTGCCAACAAAAAAGTTTGTAAGCATATCAATATGGTAATGATGCAAGCAGGAAAGCTTCCTCAGCATAAAGCAGAAGACTTTAAAATTTAATGTCTATGAACAATTTTTCTCTTTTAAAAAATAATGTGCCTGAGATGACGGAATAAGTAATTTTTGTCCCAAGACAAAGAATGAAAAAAAATCTATATTTTTATACCACCATAAATAAAGTGCTGACTTGCTGACGCATGACTGAGGACTGGGCACAATTTGAACTAATATTGGTTTATGCTGTATTTATAAAATTGGAATGATCCAGGACTCTCAAGCCGCTTCCTTTATGGTGATATATTCATTCATTGTTTCTCAGTATCCTTCATGCCTTTCATTCACTATCATTCATTCAGATACCCTTCATTCACTGCTCATAGTGTTTGTCCATTCATCAGAATTAGTCCATTTAATTTCTTTTCCTGTACAGTTCCCACTTCTGGACTTACTAAATTTTTTCCTCTTTATCTTTAGTCTTTATTTTCATCATATCTCCCTGCCACTCAGAACCTCTTTTATTCTAGCTATCTCTGAATGTGGCACAGTAAGTTTATGTACTTTGATACTTTATATTCTTTAATTGATGCCATATCTTCCTTTGATATCTCTCACCAATTGTTATGTTAGACACAAGGGTGTGAATGCATCTGACAGAAATGTGAACACATTGCTTCTGTATGCAGCAAGTACTGTGGCATTAAACATACCTTTCTAATGCTTTTCAGTAAACATTTCCTGTGAGCTTATGCATAAAATGTGTAATCTGAAATATGTTTTGACTTCAATTGCAAAGTAAAGAAATACCATATTAAAAGTGGTAGTTTTGATCATGGCAACTTGGTATGAACTGTTTGGTATTAAATACCATGCGTACTGTGGTTCCAGGTATGGACTAAGGCAAAAGATACAGGGCTCTTAAAACTAAATAACCAAGGTACCAAATGTTCCCTTCCAAGAAAGCTTTGACTGCCCTGTCATTGTTAGCAATGAAACAAAACTTTGTTTCTATGGCTTCTGAAATCTTTTCAGGACAGGAAAAGTACATGCCCCACAGTGCATCCAGTGCACACCCAGAGTAGCCCCAGTGCTGTGCCTCCCTTCATGTCCTTAAAAGCAGTTCAGGAAGGCACTTTGCTCCAGCAGCCATCTGTATCTGAGGAACAGGAGTTATGAACCTGACTGGTTTTAGGAGCTTCTCTGTAAACAAGAAGTGGTGAGTAATACTACCCAGGACACATTACGCCTCAGATCAAACACCAAGCACTCCCTCCCTGCCTGCTCCTTCCTGGGCAGTGGGAGGAGACTTGATTGAGGATACACTGCTGATGTCCATGTCAAATAACAGTGACAGATCTTTGGCACTACACATTTCTCCCTGGCAGCTCCATGGCTGTGAGGCCAGTAACTACAATGTCGCTGCACACTTCCTTCAACACCGCTGCACTTCAGGTCCAGTAATGTATTCACAGTCCCCTTCACTGGGCATATTCCCAATCTCTCTCTGTAGGTCAGGATGTAGCTTTGGGAAGGAAATAGAGCAATGTGGGAAATGGCTGTAATCTTCCTGCAAAGGATTGAGCGGGGTGTCACGTGGAACTGAGGTCCAACAGCCACAGCCAGGGCAAATTAACTGCAGCAGAGAGTGGCTGTGCTCCTGGCTGTGCTCCAGCCCAGTGCCTGACTCCTTAGGGAGCCAGTCCAGGCTGCTAACTGGCATGGAAATGACTCATGCTTTTTTTACTGACTGGGTTTTCTGCTCCTTGGTGGACTGAAACTGCTCAGCAAAGGATCAGTTTATTACTAAGGATGAGCACAGGTAGAGTTGGGAGAGGGGGGAACAGTCCTACCTTGTTCCAGCTGTTGTGGCTAAGCCTGTCTCATCCATCTGTACCTTGATTAGAGGGATAAAAGTCCTGTTACTTTGGGATGAAAGCTGTGGGGAGAAATCTGCCACTGCTGTAAGACCACTGATGGGCATATTAATTCCTCTGTTAATTTCTACTTGTGGCTGTTACTTCTTTTTGGTAGTAAAACAGAGTTTCACCTTCCCCCTAGATGGCCAGTAAGGGTTCATGCCATACATTGGCACCTGAAGCTACAAAGCCTGAGGTTCTGTAGCTTACCTTTAAGGCTTTCCTTAGTCCTGGCTTACCACTGCCCAACAGAATTCCAGCACTGCAAGGGTTTAAAGGGGTCCAGAAAAACTATTTAACCAAGTCAAGAAGTAAATATCCTCTCTTGGAGCTGTAAAAATGCATTTATGTAGAAGAGGCTCTTAAAAAAAAAATTGTGACAGTGGGATGTGTTAAAATTCCCCACAAAGGATGCCAGTTATTAGGGACTTCCCTAGCGTTTCTAGACACGATTCATATGCAAAACTTTCAAAAGCTCTTCCTTCCTCTCCCTTTCTTTGTTTCATTAAGAGAAAAGCATCTGAATCAAGAGGTGCAGTGGAAATTCACTTTTCCCCCTCCCTTTCTTTCTTCTCTAACTCATAAATCTCTAGAAACAAGCTGGGTCCATAGTGATTCCCATACTTATGCCAGGCTTCTTCATACTTATGCCAGGTGCTTCTTCAACTTGATTCAGTTTGAGTAGATGCCAAGAAGGTCAACAGAGAGCTGCCACCTGTGCTCCTGGTGCAGCCCCTTTTGTAGTAAGGGAGCAGATGGATTGCAACTCATCAGTAATAAATGGATAAATGAATTGTAACACTAAATAGCTCAATAATTGCAACTTATTGAATAACGATAGCTACTAAAAGTCACAACAGCCATGTTTTTGACTCTGGAAAAATAATAATGCTAAAAAAATTCTGCCTGTGTTTTGTACTTCTCAGTTCAGCTTTAATTACACTTTGGAATGTACTGCTTAGTGTTCCCTTATTATTCACCTACTGCTAGCTCTTGTTGCTCTGCGCTTCCATTTTGTCTTTAGTTGAGGGCAGAAATTGCCCAACATGACCTTGATTTCTGAATTACTATTGAAAACCATCTCTTAGCAGCAAAGAGTAGTTTAAGTTGGAAAATTAAAGGAACTCCAAGCAAAAATGGCTTGTGAGATGGGGGAATCCTAACTTAGAGTGACATGAACACTAGCAGCCAGAAGAGGAAGAAGAATGTGGATTCTTTAGATATACAAACTCGTATTAATAAGTTTAAACATGTAAGGAAAAAAATTATATTTGTCTTTTGACAAATAACAACATAGAGAAATTGAGCATTTGCTTTTCTTCTTTCAAATCAAAGTATCTGCTAATACTACTGTAATTCTGTTGTTCTTAGAAGTTTTCTTTCTCCTCTCTTCTGTTCCAATGAGGTCTTTCCATGCCATGAGTTACAACAAACAGCAAATTATCTTATTTGGACTGGATTCTTCTCAAGAACTACCAGCATGATGCTAAATTTAAGCAAACAGGGGGAACTTGAACTTTCATTCTGAACAGGTGACAATTTTCTGAGAATGCTGATGACATTTCCTTGGAGAAAACCTTCCTACTGCCACCCGGCATGCACTCTTTCCACTCCAGGGACATCTGTTGTGACAGTATCTTACTAGATCATGGAGAAAAACAAAGAGGCATTTCTGCAAAAACAGGCTGTACGTTATAGCATGCAGAGTTTATGCCCTTTAGCCAAATTTTAAAACAGCTTGAACTCTTTGGAGTATGTTAAAGGCACATGAAACAGTGGCTGGGGAAATGAAAGGTTAGGTTTTGCAAGCTGCAAGGTCAGGGAGAAATTTTAAAATATGTATTTGACATTTTAAATTACATGTGCTTTCAAAAAGAACACCAAACAACTATCAGTTTTAGTATCTGCTTACTCAGACAGAAATGAAGAAATCCAGACCAGAGTCTTCTCTTACTCTTCTTTTCTTCCCATTTTTAAAACTTCAGCTTTTTAGCTGATTTTCCTGTGGGTGGCTCCATCACAAAGTGGATCATTCCCAGCCACACAAACACTGACTGCTTTCCATGTGTCCAAGGGCTCTGTACACTGCACACACCTATCAGTGAATACTGGACATGCACTATGTGAGCAGCTGGCTCTGTTTTCAGTGGGTAAAGCAGGGGATTAGGTGTTGGTCTCGACTTGTGATGTAGAAGGATGTGCTATGAAACTTTTAGAAAGTCAGTCAGGGGTTTGCCTGATTATCTCTGTGTTTTCAAGGTGACCTATAAAAGGACTTGAGTAGGTTTTGGTGCTTTCCAATTCTGAAAATTGTCTCAGAATTTGGTCAGGTTTTAGCTCCTTTTCTCCTTTTTCTTTTATTTTGCTTGCTTTCTTTCTTTCTTTCTTTCTTTCTTTCTTTCTTTCTTTCTTTCTTTCTTTCTTTCTTTCTTTCTTTTTTAACTCTCAAAACCATCAGCTGTATCTCTTCTCATTTCTGCTAGAAAAAGCCCTTCTTGAGCCTTTTAATGGTATACAATAGGAGCTTTACTTGGAGGTGTGGCAGAGTTATTTAGTATGACCATTGAAGTGTTTGTTCATACTGAATGAATATTTAAAGAAGCTGATGGAAGGGAGGAGAGATAGGAAACAGCAAAACAAAGTCAAGTAAAATTACATTTCCTTCCCTATTGCTT